GGGACACGGCGGGTAGTCCCGAGCGGGCAAGATACCTCGATCTTGCCCGCTCGGGTAGCCAATCACAGCGCAGGATTTGATTCATCTTGCCCGCTCGCGGAGCTAGCCATATAATAATTAATCTTATCGTTAGCGGAAAAATCGCCATCATTGCGCGTTCTCTTCGTTCTGATTCTTAAAAGAAAAATTGGCGACCAGAATTTTCCATCTGACGACCAAAAATTTTGGTTTGTGCTGCGCTGCGAAGGAAAAATTTTATTGACACTTTTTGGCGACCACATTTTTCCATATGGCGGCTGAAAAAAAAATTTCAGTCGCCAGTGGCGCCTGCCTAGGGCGAAATTTAAATAACAATCAGACCTTACTGTGTTTTTGTCGATGTTGTATTTCAGAAAGAGGAGTTAGGTCGGCTACTTATCAACATTTTTGCCGTAGTTCCTGGTGGTGTGGTGTGCTTTTTCTCGTCATACGATTATGAGCAGCAAGTCTACAGACACTGGCAAACAACCGGCCTTCTTGATAAAATGAACGCGCGAAAAAAGGTATCCTTTTTTGTTGATTTATTTTTATTAACCTGAAAGGCTTCTTTGCTTGTGTAGCGTTTTAACCATTTTATTTTATCGTTTTTTTTTTTTTTTTTTTTTGGNTCCAACCATGTTCTCGACAAATCACTTAATCCTCACATTATTATATACTTCTTAAGTTCGGATAATTCGGGCTGAATATTTGCTTTGTCTTTTGACGAACTGCAAAACTGGACAAGGAATTCTTTAATTTTTTTTTTTTTTTTTTTGGCGTTAAGGTCTTTAGAGAACCAAGAAAAGCTAACCAACTTGATCAAGTACTTTCGTCATATTCTGCCTGCATTAAGGTTGGTACGGAAAGCTTAATTTTTAAGCGAGATAAAACAGTTACACATGTATCATATATGCATGCACAATAACCCTTGTCGAAGAATGCCATGTTTGGGAACAGGGAGTTTTTTTGACAACTGACATTATTTATCTTGATTTGAATATGCACAATTTGGATGCACTCACTATACTTCACTCGGAAACTTCTGTAAAATTTTGATGCAAGTCCTGCACTTAAATCTGTTTTAAAACTCCTTTCTGAAGGGTTTATGTTATTTAGTGGATTGTTCTTTAGCTTTCCTTTGCGTTTAGAAAATGTTTTGGTTTAATTTGAAAGGGTTGCCGCGTATGAGCAAATTGTAATGAATACCGCATGGTCAAACTCTCACTATTTATTTGAACCAAGTACTTAATTCAGTCTCCCGTTTTGCGCCGGCGTCAAGTTCTCTTGTGATTCTATCCGCGCGTTCAACGATCGAATAAAAATACGAGAAAATGGAGGGCTGTGAGCAGTCTACTTACTTCATTGTTGTTCTTTTATATAATTATTCATTAGAAGTCAGCTGTGACTACGAACACGTCTCCGAATGGTGCGGTGTTATTTTGTGTGGTAGGAGGAAAAATGAGTGAGGGGATCAACTTTTCCGACGACCTCGGAAGGTATACTTGATAAAATAGCACAGTATTTTGATCTGACGGCACGTATGTCCGAACGCTTAGAAACTAGGCCGGTATGCAGTGCATTTTATTTGCCATGTACATTACTTGCAAAAATTTTGGACGTTTGATTTCGGACACTTTTTCCCTCATTTCGGTAAAATTTCGGACAATAATTTCGGACACTTATGTTGAAACTTACCTAAAGTAAATTTGAGCCAGCAAAACGAAACAACATCTGTTAAAATGTTAGTTTTACTGCTTCCTCAAGGTTTTGCAGATACACCGACAAGAAAATATCACAAATTCTATACTGTACGTTACCGTAAATATTTCGTACGCTTGAAATGTCGGACGCTTAAAAATTCGGACTTTTTTATTTTCGGACACTTTTTGTGTCAGAAATTAAAATCGTCCAATTTTTTTGCAAGCATTGTACTTGTACGTAGGATAATTACGGTCAGTTAGGCGTGATTCATGGCACCTCTTTTCACATCAGGTGTGTGGTGATGGTTGGACTTCCTTATCCTAATATTTACTCCCCGGAACTGAAGGAGAAAATGACTTATCTCGATGCCACTTTAGGGGTAAGCTTCTCTCTGTGTTGATTACTTTTGTCAGAATCGTCGCGAAATAGCGTTGTCTAGACGGCGGAATCTACCGTGAGAGCTCGAGCACAGTTGCGCATACTTCGTTTTCGTTTGGAGAAGTCTTCCAGATCACAAACTTCAGGGTATTTATTTCTGTGAATGCACTATACTGTTTAAATAACTGTTTTAATGTTTATTTTCCTCTTAGCCCAAAGCTGGCCAAACGCATTACGAAAATCTTTGCATGAAAGCTGTAAATCAATCAATAGGTGAGGAAAAAATTATCTAAGTCATAAATAAAAGAGAGTGTAGCTATAACATGGAATCTCGTGAACAACCGAAGAGGCGAAACTTGAAAATGCATGCTCATCCTGGCCAAACCAAAGTAATCTCATGCAGCCAATCACAAAAAGAGTAACGCAACGAACCAATCAGAAAACGAGACGGAAACATGTGACCCATGCCGAGTGTGGAAAAACGCGCAACCGATGCCAAGCGCGGGAAAACATGCAACCGATGCCAAGCGCGGGAAAATGCGCGTTACTGAAGTGGAAGCCATCGTTGGTTGACCTCAGTTGTTCCTGAATGGTTTAGTTAATAAACAGCGTGTTTGCTGTCATCGGTGAAAGTACGTTGCGCGAATTTTTGGAATAGTTTAATAATCTCGAAAGCAAAGCCAAGGCTAAAATATAAATAAGATTTTTAAAAAATGTTGGATAACGTGTGTATAGCTCAGAATCTACATTCTTTTTTAATATCCAGGTCGTGCTATCCGTCACAGAGGAGACTATGCCACCATCTTGTTACTTGATCAGCGCTACGGGTCTGCTAGGATACAGAGAAGCTTACCTGGTTGGATTTCAAACCGACTTCAACATCATTCGCGCTTCGGATCTGCATTTGCCGCCATTCGCAAGGTAGGCTGGTGGGGAGGAATGAGGTATGACTAGTCCCCAGTCCTTTTAAAGGAGCTATGTCACGATTTGTGCATCTTGGAAAGATTAGCCTAAATTTTTCGAGTTCGTCGTTTGTAATCCGTATCAATCTTCGCCATCCATAACCATCCTTGTTCTATTATGGGTTATTACTATCTCTTTGATGTTTTTCTATCTTAGTAAACTATTATTTTCAGTTTTCCTTCAATTTAAAGATAATTCCGTACGCGGCCAAAATAACTCAAAATACCATGACTGAGCTCCTTTAAAAGAGAGAATTCTAAGACAACGGGAATGGTTAGGAGAATGGGTGGTAAGAAGATTCATTTAGCTCATATGAACTGGTTTTATGTTAGATGCAAAAATGGAATCATAAAAAAGCTTAAGAGGAAGTATAAGTACTAGTGACAGCACTACATAAAGACCCTATTAACTACCAGATAATTTTATGACATCAAATAATTTTTTACGTTTCTCCTTGTTTTCAGTTTTTCGTGGACAAGCGACAGACGGATGGAATTACAGACCAAGAAGCACAACCAAATACTTAAATCTATAATTTCAATATTTATATGTCAAGTCAAAGATTTCTCTGCAGAGATTATTGACAGAAAGAAGCAAATATTTAATTGATATATTTCTCATTCACAAAAGGATAAGATTTAATGTTTCATATCTATTTTTGAAGAGTAAAGATGTATTTTTCTGTAGCTGCAGGTTTAAGAATGTCTTGTGTGGCTACAAGCACGTGATGACTCGTAGCATAATTGCACTCTCTTAGTTGTTTCACGTATGGATTGAGTTTAATGATGAAAATTCCAAATAAAAAGCTGCATTAGAGCATAGTCTTGGAGTATTCATAGTTTTATTGTTGACTGGCATTAAGATTGCATTTTATAATTGCACTTTCAGGGTGACTTAAAGTCCGAGAACGCATTGCATTACGATGTCGGCTCTCCCTTGCCGAGTTCCTGTACGGCTTTCTCCCAGGCCTTCACGACCCCGGACCATGTGACCCGACATGATTATATTGACCGCGGCGAAATATTGAGGCCTAAGAACTAGGCAAGTTTCCCCCCTGGTCCTTCGTCAACCTTTGGATACCAAATAAATAGGGACTGGGAATGAGTCTCGCTCAAAGGGAGTACGGTGCTTGTTCCTGACCTTTAGTGGAGTACTTTTTGCCCATAATTTTAAGGGTATAGCCTGGATTAGTTAAAGATCGCAAAGAGCAGGGTCCGAGGGGGAACTATGGTAGAAGCCTTATGCCTTACGAGGGGCAAAGAGGAGCAGGCATGTTGCAGTGGTGCTCGCCTCCCACCAATGTGGGTTAGGTTTGAATTCTGAGCCCCGCGTCAAAAGTGCGGTTGAGTTTGTTGTTTGCTCTCGCCTTGCTTCGAGGGTTTTTCTCCGGGTTCTCCGATTTTCCTTGCTCCACAACAACCAACACTTCTAAGTTCTAAGTTCCATTTCGATCTAGAAACAGTGGACGAAGAGCCTCTCCGTGGGGTATACCACTGCAAATTCCTATTTATTTATTTTTTTCAGTAAGTAAGTCTGGATTAACATTTATTGTCCATTCAGTCAAACAAGTGCTCTTATACGAACAGGTGATGCAGCTTTCCTAAAATATGGCAACAGATAACAAAACAAAGACCCGGCGTGGTGTCAACTATCACTAGGAATGGAATTCGAAGGAAACTCACCAGTTGCACTGGCTCTTCACCATCCACCATTTGAAAATGAATAATTTGCCGATCAGTCCACCTTTAATTGAGTCAAATGTCAGTCTTACACCACAATGGACTCGAGGTACTCGGTTCATAAACTGCCGTTTGACAGCTGAGAAAAAAGAACTGGAGTTCCCTGTAGATTGATATCGTTACACCGATTAGATCCTGTGCTGGCTACCAATGGAGAAACTTGAATGGGAGTCCAAGGTTTACTCAACATTCTAGAAGGAATGCCAATACCATAGGGTGTAGAATGTAAATTAACAAGAAGTGAACTCCTGTTAAACTCATTTTCAACGTTTGAAAGTGAGGCAGCCTCGTTTTCACACACGGGTAGGTGGGAACATTCAGAACTTGAGAACAGAAGGACTGAGTGAAGTTCCTCCTTGCTGCAAGAACGGGTATGGATGGCAGAACTTGTTCGAGGCGAAAACAGGTCGGGCGTTGCGCCGCCATGGGTACACGGAGAACGCGTTTCACCTTCAACGAGTCTTGGAGAGGAAAAGAGATCCGCTGACTTAGAACAACCTTCCACAACAGACAACGATTGAGAAAACAAATCAGGAGAGAAGGGTGCAGAGGTCATCATGTCGCAACTGCCATTTATCATCGAGACCCCACTGTTACCATGGTGATCCATAGACGTCAATCGATCACCCAGTTGACCCTCGTCGGTTTCATTTGCATTATGATCATCACGTGACCGCATTTTTTTAGTTTGCTCATTTCTCAAGGGCGTATCACAAACCATGTCCTTTTCGTGAAATTCTTCAGTAGATCTAGATCGGCAGAAGGGCCTGCTTCGCCTCGTTCTGAGATTACTCACGTCTTCGTGACTATTCTGCGAAATAGATCCTCGCTGGCTGCTTAAGTTTATTCTTTCAAGTAACTGACTAGATTTGCCCACTGCTTTGCCATCAATGCGCATATTTTCAGTCATGTCAGCGAAAACACTGTCGCAGTCTCTCAATAATTGTGAATCCGAACAATCCCTGCCATGCATGATTTTATCCGAGCACGAAGAACACTTCGCTCGGCAAGGCAGCCTCGCTTCCTCTTGGACACAAAAGCTATCACTGCCATGTTCCGTGTCGCTGGATGTTTGGACTTTATTTTCGAGAGATTCACTTGAGATCTTAATATCGTATGCATTCCCAATGTCTTCGACCACATGGCCTTTAACCGCCAAACACTTTGAGCCCTTCACCTTGCCGTGAGGTTTACTGTTCGGGGAGGCGGCAGAGGTTGCGGTAGATCTAGGCGTGGGAGATTTCCTTATTGGTATATTTTCACAATCGAGTTCTATGTCGGCCAAGAATGCGTCCAAATCTTCAGAAGATGGAAAATCGGTAAACTCAGTGAAATCCTCTGCATTTGACGCGCGAGTCATCTCACACACAACGTCTTTTAACGTCGCGGATTCTGTTGTCGTGGAGTGTAGGGAAGGAATTGTTTGTCCGTCCTCTTTACCAAAAGCGTCCCTTTCCACATCAGCCAGAAATGCACTGAGATCCTCAGATGAAGGGAAGTCGTCATACTCCGTCCATTCATGAGAAAAATGCTGTTCCGTGAAGTCATCAACGTCTTCAGTGTTTGTTTCCCTGGGTTTCAAGATGGCTGGAGTCAAGGACTGAATCATACAAGGGGGACAGTGTGTGCTCTTGCTGTTCATGACTTCGTTTCGGAAGGGAAGTGGGTCGTCGAGATCTAATGACAGCCATGGGGGAAAAACACAAATCTACATCAACCAAACGTTAAAGGAGCTCAGTCACGGTATTTTGAGTTATTTTGGCCGCGTACAGAATTAATTTTGAGTTGAAGGAAACCTGAAAATAGTAGTTCACTAAGATGGGAAAACACCAAAGAGATAAACCATAAAGAAACTATAAAGAAAAAAGGATGGTTAAGGATGGAGGAGATTAACACAGATTACAAACAACGAACTTAGAAAATTAGCTAACTTTTCAAGATGCGCAAACCGTGACTTAGCTCCTTTAAATAAAAGTTAGTATCGGATTATATTCTTGGCGGAAAATTCTCTTTTTTTTTCCATTCCTGTGTTGTGTTGTACATGTAAGCTTTCGTACACGGGTTATTGTGTTCTTGGCCATACAACTTGACAAGTTTTGAATTAAACCTTTTTGTTTAGACAAGTGAAGGCATATATTTTTCACTTGGAATGATTGGGATGTTTAACGACCCATTTACTGCCAGAACCAATGTTACCTGGAAAAGCAGGATCGAACTTCCTCTTGCCCTGAGTATGTGATCCCTGCCCACTCCCTTGTGATGGCACACTACCAGAAGAAGGTTGTGATAAACCTGTTAACGCAAGAGGTGTGATCATGGAACCAAAGCCTTGTGGTGTGCAGTAAATTGATGACGCTCTTGTTTCTTGAAGAGACGCGCGTCTTGCTGCTAAAAACGCCTCGTAACTCGCTTGAGATAGTGGCGAGGGCTGAGAGCTCCTTAGACTGAGTGATTCTGGTGTGCGTCTGTGTAACTGTTGTAAATATTCATTCAATATCTGAAACACCGTAGGGCTTTGGTCGCTTGAGGAGCAAGGCAGTATTTGGCAAGCTAGAAGACTTGGAAATTTTTCAGGCAGGCAACCTTCTCTTGCTGATTTGTGCTGCTTGTTTACAATGTTTTTGAGGCGAAAAGGAGAGTTGCGGGAGATTTGAGAAGCTGTTCTGCAAGGTGAATAGATTCTGAAACCAAACTGTAACAAGGCACCAACGAAACACTGCTCCATAGCTTGGTGAACAGCACGAAACCATGGGATGAAAGAACATGCATCAGATTGTACACTGTTAACAAACCTGAAACAAGAAGACAACTTTACAATGGCTAAAAGACTAAGCATTGTTTTTTATGACGGAAGTCCGCACCACAATATAAGGCCGAAATGAAAACTACAAGCATCGTATGTCACAGTACATGACACTACGGACTAAGAAGACGAGGTAAATAGGGGACGGACCATGAGAAAAGAGATTGGGGGAGGGGAGGGTGGGGAAAAACAAAAACAAAATCATGCAAGAGAGGGTGACCGAAAAAAAAAGTCGTGCAAAGAAGAAGTGAAGAAAAAAAATTCCTGCAGAGTGAACTGAGGTCTGAATTGCAATGTCAGGCTTACAAACTGTACCCGCCTGAATGGCAACTTGGCAGCCACTTTATACTGCAGTTTTAATTTCTTGGTCCTGGTGGCATCCCCATTCACCTGGTTTTCCCTGCAATTAGGAAATCGGACATTTTTCCCTTTCAAGGCTGATACATTTTGTACGTAGCAAACTCATTATGGACACTGGTGGCCAAACACCTTGCAGAAAAACCCTTATGGAACCATTGCTTGAAAGTGATATAAAAAAATATGTCATCCCGTTTTATTCGTTTACAAGCACATACCGTATTTTGAAAGCCTCGAAATATAGGAGTGATTTCATAACTGACGTGAGTAAATGACAATTGCGGACACTGATGTGCACACCCATGGTGAACTGTAACACTTCCCCCAAGATAGCCGCCAAGATCAACGTTGGACAAACGTTGTAATCAAAGACAATCATGGAGGTGTTAACACAACTGATGCGTTTAGTATGGGCTGTTTCAATCTAGTTTAGGTTTTTGGCAACGTAAACGACCCAGTATCATTCAAGACCAATCGATACATTAAATTCGTGTAAAACGCACCAAAAATGCTCGAATTTTGCAAAATTTTCTGGAGGGGTTGTCCCCAGACCCCCCTAGTTGAATAGGCCCTTTAGCTCCATATTTGCTACTGGACAGTCACTCACAGAACCCTAGCTTGAACCTTAATTCACTGTATGCCAAGAATGAATTTTATTACAAGGGTAATCATGAATCAATAAAATTGATATTTTCCCTAAACATCAAACCAAAAAAGCAATGCAGTCCCATTTTAGGCAATAGCACTTGGATGCTGTCTTTCAGAGACAACCCTCATACAGGGTTATGAGTTTTTCTGAGAAGTGTTTTAAGTAGTGGCATTAGTGGCCAGGTACCCTGGTACATAAGCCATCTGTGAAGTGTGTCCATGACTTTGCACAGCAGAATCTGAACTTTAAACTACTGTATGAAGTAAACTTGAAGGTAAAGTTCTTCAGAAATACAGCCCTCTGTTAGCATTGCATCCTATGGTTTGATGATAATAAAAGTCTGCATAGGAAAGGCTTCGTATTCTGAATAACAATCAGGTACAATGGCTTATGGAGTATGAGAAAAAGTTAAATAATCAATCATTTGTTCTTCGACCTACTACCAGAGGGAACTTGGTAGTCCAAAACTCAAAAGTACTTGTCCAAAACATTTTTAAAGGTATAGAGGCGTCAATTTCACCGTTTGCCTACCATGTTCTATTTCCACACGTTTCCACACAAACCATGAAAGTATAATGGTGGAATTTGCTGGACCGTTTACGTTTTGTTTCTCAAGAATCTTACCCTATCTTGGCAAAGGTCTTAGCAAAGATCCTTAAAACGATCTTAGAAAAAGAAACTCTTTGCATATTAAGGGGACACTATCATGAGTTGTGCATGTGCAAGGTTTCGATCTCTAGTTTGAAAACATATGGCAGATGATGTCAATCTCACTGATCTACGAAATTCCAGATGGAGACTATACGGTGAATGCATCTTGGCCAGTTGAGCTACTTAGTTTATCTTGACTACCGAGTCATAATTTTCTTTAGAAATATTTACAGGGTTGCTGCAAGACATTTTCTGTAGAATCTGCAAGAACTCATAATAAATATATTTGGAGGAGTATTAAATGAAGATCTTCAAGGGTCCTTACAAAGAACTTTTAAGATCCATGACAACCTTATTTCACCTGAGATGTCACGTCAGTCAACTGTCTGATCAGTGTCTACATTCTCATTGCATTAACACTTGATTTGTATCAATATATTAAAGGGAAAGTAGTTGCTGATCACTATTAGGACTCAAACATTTTGCAGTCAAACCTCACAAAGCTTGTGGCTGATGTGCCAAAGAACCTGTCCAGACAGGCACCAAACACTGTGATCTGTGCCATCTGTGTTCTGTCTGACGCCAAAACACTGATCCGGTACCGATACTCAACAACCTCTGCACTGTACTTCACGCTGCATCCCTCACACCAGAATCTGCAGAACGGAAACATGGTTGATTATATAATGAGCTATTCTTGTCATTTGTAGGAGACTGCAACGAAACAATGTGGTCAGGCCAAAAGGTATGTAGAGTCCTGATTGCAGTCTGTTTTTCTGACTCTCACAGTCATGAAAAATGAGTACAAGGAGACAGTTTGGGACAAGATGAGAAGAGGACAAACAGTTTAACCCACTATCTCTGAATATAGTTACCATAGATAGATAGACGACTTTATTTCAACTCGGGTTGATGAGGCTGATTAGGCCTCTAGCAAGATTATGCCAATTTACCAAGAAAAATAACTTTAAACAAAAGAAAATTGAAATTAAAAAATTACAAGATATAAATATATAGTAGCTAAGACTAGTTTACATATGTAAATTTACAATAGATCTAACCGCAATCTTAAAATCTTTAAGTGTCTTCATACAACGTAGTGTATCCGGAAGTGAATTCCACACTTTTGAAGCAGTGTAGGCCACGGACTTAGTCCCATAACCGGTGGTGTTAACTTTAGGGATAGACACCATAGTTATGTTTGGAGTTCAAGATGGCCACTAGTTAGTGACTGAAAAAATATACCCAGAGGAAAATGATAATTTTAAGTTTGAGAAAGCAGGGAGTTTTTTAGTGTACCATCATTTTTACATTTTCCACAATTCGCAAGGAAAAAATTCACGGCAAGCTGCTAATAGTCTATCCAAAAAGGATAAAACCTGCAAACACTCAGGAATATTCAGTCACTTCATTATACTTCAGTTTTAACCAGGAGGCATACGGACCCCTCCCACTCAGGATTGGATGCTGCACTAAAGGACAGTATCCAGTGCAACAAGATACATATGGCTTATTGACCAAGCATGAGGTCAGGATCGCTGGATATTGACCAAGCTCTTTTTTATGTGTTTATGGACAGAGACAGAGTTGAGGTCCATAAACACACACAAAAAAGAATAAGGCCAACATCCAGCCATCTTGACCTAACAAGCTCGGTCAATAATGGATTAATTCAGGGTTCATACACTTTTGACCTGTTAAAATTCAATGACTTGCCATGACTTTTTCCATGACCTTTTGAAAAATTCCATGACCTAAGTTAAGCAATTATTGTTCTCCAACAGTAATGTCAAATGAAAACAATCATTTATTCAACTGAAATTAAATCTGAGTTTGGGACTGGTCAGTTAATTTTTCAACTTTGGATCTTATTGCCTTTCACTCATGGAAAGCATACCGATTTTCCATGACTTTTCATGACCCACATCTAAATTCCATGACTTTCCAGGCCTGGAAAATGAAATTATAAAATTCCACGACTTTCCAGGTTTTCCATGACCTGTTCGAACCCTGTTATTATATGGAAAAAGAATGCTATTTTCTTGCTGGACAAAGTGGGTAATTCTGAGCAGGCAAGATAGCACCATCTTGCCTGCTCATGCAGCCATTCACAGCACAGGATTCTAGAGAACTCAGAACACTAAGCAGTAGCAACTGTAATAAACAGTTTTGGGTTTCACTAGCTGAAATATCAATAACACAAATATCTTTTCACTCAACATGTTCATGGAAATTTTCACTTGGAAAAACAGCTGGACCAGAAGTTGGTCAGCATATACATGTAAGCTTAAACCTTTAATTTTTATCTTTTTCCACGGCAAAAATTTTATGCCGACTTCGGTTACGCTTGAGTTTAAAATTAAGAAAGTTTCAAACCCTTTTTTCGGTGCTTTCAATAGTCTGTGGAGGATGAAATCAGCTGGGTTCAACTGATCAATTTGGGTTATTAAAAAAGCAGGGAAAAGACTTCTTTCGAGTTAACATTAAGCTTATCAGAAATTTTGAGTTTAAACTCAATGTATGCACACATACCACAATAAATGAATTTGATTTCCATGAGCTTCATAGCTTTCAAGCAAGAGTTTTCCAGTGTTTCAGCCAGAAAATTTTACTTGAGGGCCAAAGCAAAGTAAAAAGGAAGATCTTTTTTAGGGGCCAATTTTTTAGAAAAGGGGCCAATAAATTGAAAGTCACAGAAAGAAAAAAATGCATCAGGGTACCAAGGAAAATAAAGCAGTTTATTAGGATCTATGATAAAATTTAATAGTAAGTGCTTTTTGAAGTGTTTCTACTCAACAAAGTTTCTTTTGAATCAGATACTAGTATAAAGGTTCCATGCATTACAAGAGAACAATCTATAGGCATACATGACATGGTCAACAATCAAGGGTTTACAATGCATTATAGGGCGATTTCAAACACGGTCAACCATTTGGAACTTTCTCAGTGTGAGAGAATCAATACATCAAAGCAAAAGGATGGATTGACTTCTTCTCTTGTTTTGAATTTTTTAGGAGCAAAGATCTTTCAATATGATTTTCTAGAAGGACACAATTTTGTGTGAATTGTAAATTCACCCTTTTTTGTTTTTCTGAGGGCCATCTCCGATTGCAACGCGGGATTCCCATGATCGTGCACTCTGGCAGAAACACTGGTTTTCATTTAGCAAAATACAGAGAAACACGGACTTCGTAGCCTTCAACATAACTAAGTTATAATAAATAAATTCTGAATAAATTTTGGAAGCAACATTTCTGTAACAAACCTTTATACCATTCACAAAACTTTGGAAAGTTATCATTGAATCACTTTGCTAAGCACAAGAAGTTTGTACTACTTTCGAACTTTTTGAAAAGTCTTTTACTTTAGTGATGATGGATTCCGCCTATGAATCCCTGCATTTCTCTGTCAGAGTTCTTTTGAATTAATTAATACACTTTCACCAATACCCTTTTCCCCTACCCTCTTGGCATAAAATGTTTGTGTTGCTTTGCTCTGCTGATTTTTTGTCAGGTGCCAAGTCTGCCTTGCTTTAATTCATTCAGTCACTGTGATTGGTTAACCATTTGTCACATTACCCCATGAATTTGCTGAGAATAACTCAATATAAGCAACTTGATCATGAAAGTTAAAAATACATTTTTCTCTCATTGACAGACTTTTTCCATAGCTATTTCATAACAGCAACAGACCACCCTTCCTATGGATTTACCGGCACAATAAACCTCATACCCTTTCATGTCCATCATACCCATACCCTTTCAGGCTGCACATACCTATATAGCCCATGTAAAAGAATAACCCCCAACCCCCCCCGGTAAATCACTCGTTTAACAGCTCATGATTTACAAGCTTTTCTCGTGTTCTCCCAACAACCTGTGTGGTTAATTGTGCTGGTAAACCCATGAAAAGAGTGGTCTTTGGTTTAAGTGGGAGACAATGGATAATCCCAAACAGTCAAGATAGCACCATCGGTCTTGCCAGCTCAGGTAGCTAATCATAGTGCAGAATTCAGTTCATCTTGACCACTCGTGTAGCTAGCCATATTATTAATAAAGTAGAATATTATTTTGTCTACCTCCAACTTGGATGTAGATCATTAACAAATTAGACTGCTACATAATCCCGGGGTATCCAATCGATGGAATCGATAATCAATGACAATCGATATCAATCGATACCAATCGATATCAATTAATCGATTGATATCGATAATCGATGACCAATCGATGGCAAAGATTCGTGTGGTTATCGATTGGTATCGATTATCAATACCAATCACTAGATAAATTGGTATCGATTAGTATCGATTGGTTGCAGATTGACGGAACCGGAATTGACGCATAAAAATACACAACTTGTACACAGTAATTGTAAACACATTTCATTTTAATGTTAACGGGAGAACAACATAGAAATATCTGCATGTAGTGGCCAAAGAGGATCCACAAGCTCGGACTGTAGGTGGCCGAGCTGTCCACGCTGGTTCACAACTTTAAACGCATTTCCTCGTTCCTCCCTCTTCTTGTTTGCAGTTAACACTTCACCAACGTTCACCTCAAAACGGCAAAGATGATAGCCTTTGACGATGCACCTTATATTCAGTAAAGCCTCTACC